ATATAAAAAATACTATCAAATGTTATTATATATAAACTAATATTATATTTTATAATTTTTAACCTAAAATCTTAATTAAAAAAAAAAAAGGTCATGCAGAGAGGAAAAATAGTATTTTTTGTGTGTGTAAGTGCTTTGGTTTATAGTTGTGAAGCGTTTAGGTGCTTGAAGAACGAGGTACGTCTTCAGCTGCTTCTTTAAAGTTGTGATAGCCTCAGCAGTTATTCTTATATGTGACCCTGGACCACAAAACCAGTCATAAGAAGCACAGGTATATTTGTAGCAATAGCCAACAATAAATTGTATGGGTCAAAATTATCGATTTTTCTTTTATGTCAAAAATCATTAGGATATTTAAGTAAAGCTCATGTTCCATAAAGATATTTTGTAAATTTCCTACCATAAATATATCAAAACTTAATTTTTGATTAGTAATATTTATCACTAAGAACTTAATTTGGACAACTTTAAAGGCAATTTTCTCAATATTTAGATTTTTTTGCACCCTCAGATTCCAGATTTTCAAATAGTTGTATATCAGCCAAATATTGTCCTATCCTAACAAACCATAAATCAATGGAAAGCTTATTCATTCAGCTTTCAGATGTTCTAACGGAGCATGCTGCACAACTTCTTGTCCAGGCCCTTGTCATTTCTAGGCTGGACTACTGCAATGCTCTTCTGGCTGGACTTCCATCATGCAAATCAAACCTCTACAAATGATTCAGAATGCAGCAGCGCGACTGGTCTTCAACAAGCCCAAAAGAGCACGTTAAACCTCTCTTTATCTCCTTGCACTGGCTACCGGTTGCGACTCACATCAAGTTCAAGACATTGATGCTTGCATACAGAACAGCCTCAGGCTCAGCACCCGCCTACTTCCACTCACTATTACGAATCTACATCCCCTCCAAAAGACATACATAATGTTACAAACAACATCTATTTAAAAAAAGCTGTTCTTTTGAACTTCTTATTAATCAAGGAATCCTAAAAAATATATTAAAGTTTCCACAAATATATTAAGCAGAACTATCAGAATGATTTCTAAAGATAATTTGTCACTGTAGACTGGAGTAATGATGCTGAAAATTCAGCTTTGAAAATTGACCCTTATGACAGGTTTTGTGGTCCAGGGTCACATATAATAAATATACAAGTCAAGGACGTGAAACATTGTTAAGAAGACTATATGTCTGTTTGTCTATTATGTTTCAGTGTCTCCTAAAGATAATTTGTCACTGTAGACTGGAGTAATGATGCTGAAAATTCAGCTTTGCATCACAGAAATAAATTAAATGTTAAAATAAATTAAAATAGAAAATAGTTATTTTAAATTTTAATATTTTCACAATTTTACTGTTTTTACTGTAGTTTTGTTTTTACTTTTGTTGCTTACAAAAAAAAATAGTTATAACACACTACTACTTTTGAACAGTTGCCAATGGAGAAAGTTGGCTCAACCAATGGCGTGTGTTTGGGGTGCAGCTATTCATTTTGTTTAATCGATGAAAGGCAGGGAGTGTGTTTGGAAAATCTGAAAACAGTCACTTCATCTTTAAAGGTGTCCTCTATTCAGTTGACTCACCGTTAAAGAACTTGATGATATCAGTGAAGTCCATGTTGTTGTCCAGGATAATGTCCCTGTACACCTCCAGCAAGGCCAGTGCAATGAACAGGACAGTCTATTATGTTTCAGTGTCTCACTCACCATCATCCAGAATGACCATCAGTGGGGCTAGAAGGTCACACATGCCTTGCACATAGCCAATCTCCAGATGTTCCCACACGTAACTGGATCATAAAACAAGGACAAAGACATAAGAGACTGAGGTAGACTGAGCCTCAGTTCAGCCGATTTAGAAAATTAGTTACAGTCTGTGATTTATGTTTCAATTAATCTAACAGACTGACTGATTTGAAATTCAATGAGCTGCTATTCTGAGAGAGACACACACAGCCGAATGAGAAGACAACAGATCACAGAGATCAACACGGTCCTCTACTGACCTGCACATGATGTTTCGCAGTTTCTCCAGGTTGCTGGTAGTGAAGTAATAGTAGTTACGATCGCAGCGCTGGACATCTTTGTCTATTCTGTGCAAGTTCAGAGCCACCGTGTCCAACAGCTCAATCTGCTCACAAGCACATTGACAAAACAATTGACAAGAATAAATCATTGACCTTTACAATTTTGACTGTGATAAATGTAGATCTGTAATGGTGTATCAGCTTAAAGGGATAGTTCACCCAAAAATAAAAATTCTGTCATTAATGTCCCTGTACACCTCCAGCAAGGCCAGTGCAATGAACAGGACAAAGTGCTTGGAGGAGATGCGAGGGGCGACCCAGATGACCTCCCATACCGCAAACACATCCTCATAGAGTAGCTCTGGCACAGATACACAAGATACACAGTAAGTTAAGCAATGAAGGTACAATCTGAGATATAGCATCTTTACTGTGTTTAAAAACACACAGACTCCATTTCAGTGTCTGAAATGAACCTCACCTCTTTTGAAGTCCAGGAGGAACCAGCGGTAGCAGAAGTAGAAATGGGTGTAATCTCCATTCTGATGCATGAGCTCAAACAATTCTGAGTCAAGGATCTGGAAAAAAAAAACAAAAAAAAAAACTTAATGTTCAGAACTCATGACGTCACAGATGGCATCAGAAGAACAGACAAATCACAGCTCTGACTCAGGCAGGAAGAGGAAGAAAGGTCATGTGCCATGTTACCTGTATTAGTGACCTCATATTGGCGAAATGAGTGTCCATGGCTCCTCCGGTAGGGAAATTCTGACTCATCCTTTTCATTAGCTGATTGAAACAGCTGTAGGCCAAGCACTCT